ACTTGAGTGACGTCACATGATTTATTTACTTACTAAAACAATACTGGCGACGTCCTTACAAGATTTTATTGCCCTTTCAAAAGTAAGGATACGTCAGTTTCTATTTTTATAAGGTTCTAACACTATTATCAATTTTCAACAGCTCTTTTAATTTGAATATGCAATAAATTTCTCTAGGTATATAGTCTATATCAGCTGTCGAAGGTAGGGAAAAGGTAATTCTAAAGGTAGAATCTAGATCAAACCAAAATTAATTAGTTAAAAACAAATACCACTATAAAATCACAATAAATCATTGAGTTTCTTTATTAAACTATGTTAGTCATTAAATATGTGATATAAATCTTTGCCTTTAAAGCTTAAATGCTCATCTTATTCTACATCTAGATCTAGACTTAACGTAAATTCTACATCTATAATCGAGATCTAGAATTTATATACTAAACTATTTCAGGCCTTAATTTTTTTTTTATAAATCTTTGTTTGTTTTAACTATGGAATTGGCTGATTTGGGATATTTACTTTGAAATAGTACTAGGGCCTATTCGCTTCGTAAATGAAGTTTCTTACGCAGACTAAAAGTAAAATATATAATTAGGAAAATACGTAGGTGATTCTATGAGCCTAGATAGCGAAGGTGATAGTGTAGTAGGTTACCATGCGGATGGCACGGATTCGTAAAACATAATGTCAAAGTTAACTTTTTATTTTTTTAATTTATAGATATCAATGATAGAGTTGCCCATCGGAACTTGGTGGGATACAGGACAGTTGAAGTAGAGTTCATCTGTTTCTGTGTCTTCAGCATATGAAGGGATAGTGTGATCAGAGTCGGAATCATTTTTAAACGATAAAAACATGTTGTCTGAGACTTAGTGGGACACTGGATAGGTTAAGTAGAGTTGGGTAGGTATAGAGTTCACCTGTGACGTCAGCATATGAGGAAATAGGGTGGTCACATCCATGCTCAGCCGGAATCGGTGTTTTAAAAGACAAAAACATGTCTGAGTTGGGGAGACACAGGGCAGGTGAAGTAGAGTTCACATGTTTTTGTGACCTCAGCATATGAATGGATAGTGTGGACAAACCCATGTTCAGTCGAAATCGGTGTTTTTTAAAAGACAAAAACGACTGAGGTGTGACGTCTTTTTGAAGTGGATCTGGTTATTTTGTTATGATAAGTGACAAAAGTGATGATTTTTATGGATGACCCCCGAAACCCACAGTTATCTAATGATTACGGGTAGTCTAGCTTGAAACTAAAAACAAAACATTCTGTTTTGTTGTTTCGTAAGACTGGACTATATTATTAGAGGCATTATTTTTATAGCTATATTCGCATGTAAAATCTGTAAATTATAACAGTGTTAGCTAAATGGTCGATCACTTGAATTCGACTCATAAACAGACGTTTGGTCAAATTTAGTTTGTTAAACTCTTGTTTCTGACATCAATAGAACACAAAGCCGTAAGGCTGACATCATTAGACCACAAACTGATGTACATAATTTGACCACAAACTTGTGTAGTCTACATCATTTTTGATCACAGGACAATATTTTAGTCAGGCTCAACCAGTCATTACCAGCCACTCACATTATTTACTTCCTACTATTCGTTTTTTCCCATTAATATTCGCATCCTACCATCATACCCATTAGCATCACACGGTCGTACTTCATACACTTATCAATTACTCAGAGCTAGTCATAGCAATTCACTAAACGAAGCCGGTGACAGCCTTTAGTCAAACCGTGAGTCACTAGCAATGTTACCGTTAGTTTGTAACTTCAGGCATAAGAGGAAACTACAGTTTATGTTGTAGCTTTCACATTCTATTGTGTAAATTAATAAAACTCGAAAGCGTATAATAGATTTGTACATTTTTCCATGGGTAGGATCCAATAGCGTTTAGGGGGGGGGGGGGGGGGGGGGCTGAGGCTACTGCAGTCAGGGGCCACCGATTTTTAGGGTCCAGAAATTTTCACTTATTTTACTTTTACTATAAAAATCAATATTTTAATTAAATCACAATTTGTTACCGTTTTTTTTTTACAAAATGTAATATATAAAGCTCAGTTCTGTATGTAACGCATATGTTTGTCGTTGGTCTTCGATGGATTAAAGTGTTATAATATTATCGTGCGCATTTCTCTAAATTTATGAGTTAAAAAATTACTATTGAAAGTGTTGGGAAATAATTTTCATTTTTCAAATTATAGTAATAATTGTCTGCCTGTTCATTAAACACAAGTTTTAAAAAAAATATCATCTTTTACAAAAATTCTAATTATGTCTTTATTTAGTCCTATAGCACTTACTTCCCTTTGATAAATTAGAAAAACGCAATTACTTCCCTTTATAAAACCATTGCATTTTGTGGAAAAGAATTTACTTCTTAATTACTTTGTTTTGGTGTTGCGAAAAAAAAATAATTACATAATTAGCGGGGATTGATCAAGTGCAAATGTTGTAGGTATTTTACGGATAAGCTTGGAGTATTAAAATTGTTCATTAAATTGAAACAGGCGCGTTCGTTTAAGTGAGTGCAAAAGACTATGAATAAGTTGGGGTACTATAGTCGTTCATTAAGCTAAAACAGGTGATTCCGCCCCGGGCGTTTATGTTCGCGTTAGTGTTTTCTTTGTGTTTAGGTGCGTTTGCGTTAGTGGTTGCGTTTTGATTTGGTTCGTTTTTGTTCTTTCTTTTTTCGTTTTTGTTTGTGTTTTTTTCTTTAGGTTTGTATTTGTGTTTTTGGTTGGTTTTGCGTTTGGATTTGGTTTGTTTTCGTTTGCTTTTTCGTTGTTTTTTTGTTGGTATTGGTGTTTGTGGTTGGGTTTGTTGTTAGGTTTTTGTTTTCGTTTGCTTTTTTGTTTGTTTTTTCTTTGTGTTTGTATTGGTGTTTGTGGTTGTGGTTGGGTTTGTTGTTAGGTTTTTGTTTTTGTTTGTATTTGTAATTGTGTTAGCGTTATGTTTGCGTTTTGTTGTTTTGGTTGGTTGTGGTTTGGGTGGGCAATGCCGGGTTTATGATGATTACTAAACACACAGGTAATGGTCTTTAACAGAAAGGTTTTTCACAGAAGCCAGAGCAGGGCCTGGCCGGGACGGCTAGTATCATATACGTGCACGCAGTTTAGTATAAATATCAGCTGTCATCACCTCCAACTCAGAAGTTGTTTATATTAAGCTGATGATCCCTAGAATAACATAGTCCGGACCGGCGTTCTCTTACGTCAATAAAATGATTTTAGAGTTTTAAAAAATACCACAAACAGCAGCATAATTCAGACCATAATGTCCAGGGCTTACGATTGACCCTCTTTAAATCAGTAAGATAGACTTTAAGTCATTTCGTCAGATGACGCCAGATTGTGTAGTAAGGGAGTAATAATAAAATAAAGCACATTTCTTAGACAAAGGGTCTACACTGAGGCGTAGCGAGGGGGGACGGGGGGGGGGAGGGGGGGGGCATATGTCCCCGGGCGCCGACCTTAGTCGGGCGCCAAATTAAAAGTTTGAGGGGGGGGGGGGGGGGGGTTCAAATGAAAAGTTCGAGGGGGGGGGGTGCAAATCGAAAGTTTGTCCCCGGGCGCCGGGAAGGGTCGCTACGCCTCTGGGTCTACACTATTTATTAAATCTCACTCGCAAGCATTATTACAAGCAGCATTGTAAGGGGCCCCTAAATTCGCCCCAAAAACTCATTTTTTTTATTTCTACAGGCGATTATTTCCGTTAGATAATTCGTTGTTTTAATGTCTAAATTACAGGCTATTCCTGTCCCGGTTCCAGTGTTTAAAGCAGCTGTCATCGATTCCCCATGGAAGCTGTTTACCTAAAGCGACTCATCTTAAACAATAGAAATACTTTTTTTCTGGCACAATAATGGGTTCACCAGAATAAGTCAGTAAAACAAATTTGAATCCCATTAAAACAAACTAAAAAACAAGATTTACTACAAGTTTGTTTATGATTAATCCGCCTAATTGTTAATAAGAAATAACCTGCTAGTGTTAGACCGTAACCTTTAGGCCAGAGCCCCCCAAAAATATAATATCGCAGAAACCTACTGATCCGGCTGTCTGCACCGTTCAAAAACACAATGTTTTTGTTAGGTAAGAATTGTGTTTAGAGTATGTTTTATTGTAAGCGACAGGTCGGATATTAACGATGTTGTATGTGCCAAATTAACAATAATTAAAGCCGAATATAGACGCCAAGTGTTAGAAACAATGACATGGAGGGGTTTATCTCAAGAGCACCGAAATTGAAGTCATGAGGCCTTAGGTGAAGACGGTGGGCGTGATCTCAAGCACCGGTCTATTGATATTTGAATCTCTGCTGGTTGAGCGTGGCACTTTTTGATTTGTAAGATCAAGTCAACAGAATAGTGTGTAAACAAATATTTTCAATAGGATTTCCCATAAATGTTTTGTGAATTCTAAACAGTAATTTATTACGTACATAGTATAAATCGACATTTTGTCGTAGTTTTAGTTAAAAAAGATCACGTCCGCCGTGACATCAAAATGACGTGACTCTTTTTAAATAATGTGTTGTATTTCTATTATTTATAATTTTCTTTCAATATAGTATAAACTATGTGACTGTGTGGGGGTAGTAATTACTAACTCGAAAGTTTCAAGTTGCTATCACGACCTCAGTGAGTACTTTCAGCTCAAATAATTAACGGACCAAACTATACTTTATTTGCCGAGGTCTCTTAAATAGTTGAAATATATTTCATCTGCACCATAAATCACAAAGGATAAATGGTTAATTTTACGATTATTTTAGCCCAAGAAATAAAACATGACATAAACATGCAAACAAACTAATCAGGTAAGTATAGTATCCCTCCAACTTCAATTTTAACTAATTTTTGTGTTCATTTTAGCACTAGGTTTTTAAACCACTTTATAAAAAACGACTGCATGGACCAGTTTACAAGCCTTTACATGAGACATTTCTACACGCAATACAAAATCAAAATTTTATTGCAAAGCTTTTATTAAAATAGAGTGAATTTTACATATCTTGAACAGCACCATACAAATTAAGCAGACCCAATAATGAATTCAAATAATTTAAAGCGTAATTCTAATTGAATACCCCGACAACTTCACATTTACCATAACCTGAAGAGTTAGGCCAATGAAAGAAAATGATACGGTACAACACTCTTTCTGGTCATAGCCCCCACATACTTGTTTTAGAAATTCCATGGCTTAGTTTCGTTTTCAACGTGCTTTCACTTTCCATTTATTGGTAAGCTTTCCATTGTGTTAATGCTAAATTTGTTTAGGAACAAGTGATACACTGAATTAGCCGAACATTTTGGTGCATAAGAGTTGTAGACGTGTAGACCTAAATCATATATTTAAACATTGTGAAGTTATTGATCAATAATTGGAATTAAGACTAAAGCTTATCATAAATCAAGTTATTTAAAAAAACTCTTTTTTAAATCATTTTCGAAAAGAAAATTATTCGTCTATAATTTCAAAATGTTTTTTCTTAATGTATCAACGTCTAATAGATCGCCACACTTTATAACTTTATAACAATTATCTCCATTTTTCACTTTAAACATTGACTAAAATCCATGTATAGTGCAATAATACTAGTATAAACTCCGTATAGAATGCAAAGATACCAGTTTAAAATCCTTGTAGAGTGCATTGATGGTCTCTAGCCTTTGTACACTAGTAAATGATTTGTATGTGTTTGTTCTGTATATGTTCGTGGAGATGGTTGCACATTTTTAAAATACATGTTTTATTTCGTACATTGTGGCTATGTTTTGTTATGGATTGAGTATACCTGTTAAATGAACCTACGTTTTGTACCAAAATAGGATATAACTTAAAAGCACAAAGGTGAAAAATGCAAAGTTCTTTAGGTTTAAAAAAGCTTAAATAAAGAGAAACACCTAAACAACTAACTTCAAAACTCAAAAGCTCCAGTAGATAACCAATGTTACAACAATATTCATTATTTTCTTAAGTTATACATAACAACACACTTAGATATATAAAGTAGTGTACAGTAACTTCACGTAAATTAATATTAGAAAAATGTTGAGGACAGAAATCTCTTCTAAAACAGCAAGTTTATAAGTAAAATAATATAAGTAAACACATTATAAAAGGCAAATAAACATGCTAATAAAGTTAAACTACTTGATTAAAAAAATGATAAAGCCGGATGTGTAAATGCACATATATTCTAAAAGAGCAATATTGTTAGGATTATAATTAACCAGAGCAAGAGACTTGGCACCATCTGTGACCCTGAATCTAAAAATACATTCGGGTTATTAGGGTCACAGTGATACGAGTCAAGCTGTGGTTGGGAACACAAAGCTGGCCACAATGGACCCTTGATAGTTTCCTCCATCACCTGATAGGTGGCACAGCCACACGGTCCTAGTGCTGGTCTCATGCACGAGTACGTTGCTTCATGTGTCTTGCACATTTTTTGTCTAAAGTCTGTATCAGAAGACATAGCTATCGCTATCAACTTATTCTGTACGCATGACGAGAATTTAGGTGATTGACTTTTGGAGCATTTTTCATTAAACAGGGTAATCTTCCTGCAAGCGATGGCAACCACCTCTTTTGTCTTGTTGGGAGAAGCGAGGTAACCGCCGAAATTAGCACCGATACAATCTACTCGGCGCTGTAGATAACAGCTCATTGCTTTAGCAGCATCGTCGGGTTTTCGACACATCTGTTCATTGACGTACGACATTGACGTGCTTATGTTGGCCGGGAAGGTCAAGTGGTTCTCTGTGTAACACCGCGCAACTTGTTCCAACGGTTTGTTGCAGTCTTTGCCGTCACAAACATTTATGAAACCTGTCGATGTAACAGAAATTGAAGTATAGATTACATATCGCTTATCCATTTCGTTATAGTCAGTAATGAAGAAGTAGTAAAATTATTACATTATTACAATGCACTACTTTCAACTGTAAAATGTAGTTTATTTATTTATTTAAAAATGTCGTCACCAAATTACCTCGTATCATTCTCCCCTAAACACCGCAAAGAAATTGCTCTTTAGATTACAAAGAGAGCAATAAGGTATGTTGTTGGTAAACGCACATTGGCGTGGTTTAACTAACATTTAAGCGTTCCCATCCGTTGAATGTTCACTACCGGGCGTGATAGTTTAGCGCCTCTTATATTACCATTAGTATACTATTATATTTATTATTTTATTTTTAGTGTAAGCATAATGTTCTTGACAAACAGCTGAATATATATATATATATATATATATATATATATATATATATATATATATATATATATATATATATATGTATGTATGTATATATAATATATGTTAAAATATTTTTCTACTAATTAACTATGCCTCTACTTCAAATGGGATTTTCATTAACTATCATTACCTAAAATAGTTTTCTATCTCTAGTTAAATAATTATGTCGTTCCTTCAAACATGAAATATTTTCCATAAACGCATCATTGATATTTTTTGTCTCCTTTATGTAGCAAACTAATTAAACATGAACGAAACTCACCGTCCAGTAGAATTAATATAACAGCTATATATAACACAGACACACAGACAGAAGCCATATTGGTTATACTTTTCTTAGGTTGGGTGTTGCAGCAGAACTAGTTCTCTTACAACAGATGTAGCTCAACTAACTAACGCCTTTTCCCCGCACTTAGACTGTGTGAAAAACTTTTGTGTAAACACTTGTGTTTATTAAGCAGCATATATCCGGCATTGCCCGGATCAGCGGCGGAACTACAGTGCTGCCAGACCCGCAATGCGCGAGGGGGGGGGGGGGGCACGCCATTTAGGGGCCCGTAAGCGACTATAATAAATTTTTTATAGTTAAAAAAAATATTTTCTTGCATTTTTGACTTGACGGTAAAAGCTTTTGTAAATAACAAACAGATCTACTACAGTAGTGATGTTGTACAGTAGCTAACACATGGTGTTGCGTAAAAAAAATATACATGTGCCTGAGCTGAAATGTGAAAGATAGGCAAACGTTCAAAACACTTCAAGACTTATTTCCCTTTTTAAATAGTCAAATAGACCAAGAAGAACCAGGTGTCCCGCCCCAGCTGTTGTTCATGCATTTAGGTCAGAAAGATATTAAGGAAGTCCACTGGCACCAGTGTGGGTTTAATGTTTTTAGAACGATTAGTGTGTGAGTTCCAGTGAAATTAAATATGAAATGTACATACAAAAAAAAAGTTCTAAATCTAAAAAAAATATTCAAAACATGCAAATGCACTCACACACAAGACATGATGTAATTTGTTTAAATTGAAAAAAAAACCTTTTTTTTTCAAAACCCGATCAGGCCAGAAATGACTAATACTAATGTTTATATTCTGTGTTTGAATACATACATACATACATATATATATATATATATATATATATATATATATATATATATATATATATATATATATATATATATATATATTATATAAATGGCCCGTTGAGGAAGAATACAACGGGCGCTAGGTTGATAGTGCTGTCTGTTTTCTCTAAACTAAAACCAAACCAAAATCATCACCTTCATTAAATTTAACCGGAAAAGAAAAATGACAGAATCGGTTCTTTAATCGGATTTAAGCCATACTCCTAAACCTCGCACCTAATCTAAATCATGACAAAAGTCGCATTTAGAGTTTCCTTTTTGCCACTCTACATGCCCCCCCCTCCCCAAACACACTCCCCAAAGCACATCTACCGTCCCATTCAACGAAATAGAATTTATATAGAAAATATACTTTCACCAGTGTCCGCCCCCTGCCAGAAAATTTAGTCCATCCAGCGTCCGCCCCCCCCCCCCCCGCCGGCGAAAAAAAGTCTGAAAGAAACACCGGTCGTATTTATATATCATATAGACTAAAGGTAGAGCCTGCTTCTATAATTAAGACTCATTACCTCGTTTCCTACTTTTGGCCGACAAACTTCACTCTCACAGACAATGTGTCTTTCAGATATTTTTCCTTGCGTGGGGCACTTGAATTTTTGCATGGGCGAATAAAATTATCCGAAGGGGGAGCCTGACACTGTTAAAATTATAATATATTTTCTACATAAATTATATTTGGGGGAAGGTGGGGGTTCGCCCCTACCAGAAGAATTGCATGAAATAAACTCTGCACGCAAACCACTTTTAAGATTAGACACATGAATTAGACCGTAACGTCAGTCTTTTTATTATAGAGAGTGCGGGGTGGCCCTTTTTTCTAGTTTCGCCTCTGGCCCGGATTTAGGAAATATATTACTTTTCGAATCCTTAACCACACCCAATTGATACCAAACCCAAAACACAAAAATAAACGCAAACGTAACCCAAACAGAAACGTATACACAAACCAAAACAAAAATGCAAACAAAAACGCAATTAAAAGAGCAAACACAAATGAAAATACAAAAGCAAACATTAACACACTCACAACGCAAACATCAAAAGCAAATTCAAACACAAACACAAATACAAACGTAAACACAAAATCAAAGCTAAACGAAAACAATAACGCAGAACATAAACTCAAATGCAAATATAAACGCATAGTGCTCACAGCATAGCCAGAGGCGTAGCTATAATTTTTGGGCCCCTATGCAAAAACTGTTAGTTGGCCCCTTCATCAGCCGCTATGCTGCAACGGCATTAAAAGTGAGCAGCGAAGAAATCGACTACTACCAGAGGCGTAGCGAGGGGGGGGGGGGGGGGAGCGGGGGTGCGGACCGCACCGGATGACACCATTTAGTGGTGTGACACCAAGCCAAAAAATAGCAAAATATATAGAGAAAAATGATAACTCCACTTAATTAAGTGATTAGTTCGTGTAAATAAAGTGTTTTAAGAGGTTCATATGGAAAGTTTGAGAGAAGGGGTGCAAATCGAAAGTTTGAGGGGGGGGGGGGGTGCAAATCGAAAGTTGAAAGTTTGTCCCCGGGAAGGGTGGCTACGCCTCTGGGGGGTGTCACCATTAAGTGCCGCACCGGGTGACACCCGACCTCGCTACGCCACTGACTACTACTACTGAAGTCAACATTAGGGAGAGGTTTTAATTAGCATAAATACTCTGTCCAATTTTTTTACTCGTCCTGATTGTACATAAAATTATATTGTATCATTATGTAGTCGCCTACCATGTAACGTTAGTTACATTTCGTTTTATATCACTTTTATATAAAATAAACATCGAATGTAAGCCTGTAATTTAAAAGTAACCAAACACAATATTACAAAGTTGCTTATGCTTTATTTAGATTTGTTTTTTTTTTCTCGCTTTTCTGTTTGCAAAATGATTAATAAGTTCCCTGAGGTTCAATTTAGCTTCTTCTGTATGTTCTATACTAAGGATAGCCAGCTAACGTAGCCTAATTTTACTAATAGAATTCCTTTTTAATATTTGACCATTTTAAGTTTGCTAAATGACCTCTCAACACTTGCTACTGATACATGAAGATTAAAATACAACTAGAAACCTGTAAAGATTTTTGAAAATTCACTTTCTAAACAAGTGTACTTCGTGAGAAGTAAATCTGCAAACGTTTTAATTTAAATATTTTCCATCAAGTCATTCTTTGCAATTGAAATAGCATTCAGAAATTGAATTTGAAATTCAGGACAATTTATCTCTGGATACAGTTTTGGAAATTTTTCACGAATTTAAAATATCTGCCTCTGGTAATTTGACTATGTTTTTTGGTTCGAGTAATCTAAAACAATTTGCCACACTATGCAAACCTATGAAACGATCATTAATTTGAGCATATATATTTTATTGTGGTCTGTAAACTGTCGTCACGGACCGCTGCTTTCACGAGAGATGTGTGTGTGTGGGGGGGGGGGGGGGGAGGAGGATAATCGTCCTTCACTAGCTACTGATAGTGTTTTAAAGCAAAATATTTTCAGTCGCAGCATTGGTAGTGTCGAATTCACAAATTATGAATCACTGAAAAGTAGAAATTAAACTAAATAGCGGCGTATGCTACGTCGCGGGTCAGTTCGTCCGTAATAAAAGCGGCCAGGTAGTGTGTCAGTCCGTCTGTCAGTCCGTCAATCCGTCATTCCTTCCGTCATTTTTGTTTTAGTTTGCGTTTTGCGATTGAGTTTTGTGTTTTCTTTTGTGTTTTCTTTTATGTTTGTATTTGTGTTTGCGTTTGTGTTTCTGTTTGGTTTTTTTCTGTTTCCAAGTTGGTACATTTAAAAAAGATTCACTGTGATAAAGCACAAGTATATACCTATTATACATAAATATATATTAGCGTGGGCCACTATCGTTGCGACTGCAATTATAAAACTCAAGGGCATTTGACATGTTAACTTTGAATTTACAGTTTGTCGTTTTATTGTGACTTATTATTATTTTTTGAATATAGAAATCAAGTGTCATTCTATTTTTTTCGAGTGCTTGTGGATACATGTTATATTTTTCCATCTGGTACACGAATAAATCAGAGATCTTCCAACACGCGACTTGACCTCATACCAAGTGCAAAGCACGGAATCTCCAAATATAATCCACCACACCAAACTGACGCATCTTTTTATAAGGTTTTTATTAAAAAAAAGAATTCTAGATATAGCCTCATGCAGAAGTAAGTCGCATTAAGAGACTTGCACATTTTTGCTTCAATTTCTGAACTATTCAACTTATCCGTGTTATACAAAATTTTGTGTAAAGTAAACAGGAACTAATTGCCTTGGTTTTTTTTTTATATAATTGCACATTCACGTACGACAGCGACGTGGAGACTGAACGTCCATGATGGTCGGAACGGCTAAGTTGTTGTCTCTGTAATATCGTGCGACTCGCTCAAGTGGTTTTGTTCAGTCAATCTTTCCACTCGTATGTAGGAAACACGTTGAAGCGGTTAAGTGGAGCCTAGTGCTAAAAGTACTTAAGTTAATCACATTTTCGTGAAAATATAACAAAGCTTTGATCGTTATTCCTCTATTTTAGCTCTATCTTATGTACAAGTATTAACACTGAAGTATTTATTTAAGAGGCTCTTTCAAACAAACATATAATTTAAAAACGTTATGTTTTATTGTAAATGTTAATCTTTTAACTCATTTATCTCAAAATGTTTTTGTGACTTAAGTACTTTTAGCACCAAGGTCTTCATCGTTTTTAAACAGCAACTCTTTATGGATAGTGTGTAAATCCAAACAATGCAACAAGACAATCTTGTGTGTGTGGGGAACTATTTTAATATTGGCCCTTCATTGACTCAACATGATTAATTACAGAGCAAATCGAGCATGAGTTTAAAAACGGGTGAGAAATTCGCTCGGCTTTTTTAGATGAGGTAAGGTAATATCGTTCATCGGCATCTAAGGTCCACCACTATATACAAAATTTGTTCGATGCAATATGTTTAAAAATTAATTTAGTTTGTTATGAAACAAAAGCAATTTAAAAAAATGGAACATGTTCGAATGGATACTCATTTTACAAATGTTCTTTTAAAGTTCTCGTATGTATGTATAGAAAAAGTATTGTAATTGTGCAACAATCAAAATAGTTTTACGTTTCCCAAAATAAAAAAAAAAACAGTTTTGAATTTTTTATCTGTAAATATGTGTATCTGTGTGTGTGTATTTGTTAAAGTTTAAGCTATTTTGACGGAGCTTTATGTATAACTAGCGAGCCTGTCCGCGCGCG